CCTTCTTTCTTTTGTAAAATTACTTTTAAGTGTAATAGAAGTAGTAATAATAATGAAAATATTAAGAATAATTAAAAGGATAATTTTGTGAATACGTGTATGGGCATAAATGCATAAAGGATAACTTATCGTATTATGTTTGTTATAACTGTAATTCGGATAACGATTCGGATTAGATAAATTGTCATTTAGTACAAAGTTATACATTTTTTATTTTATAATAAATATGTTTGTGTTTAAAATACATTTTTATAAAAGTTTTGTTATTATGTAGCCAAAGATGTATCTTAAAGTATACATTAATCTTCATTTTAATAATGTTAGTCAAATTACCCCATACCGTCAGTCATCTTACCCCGGTCCCGGGGCTAGTTAAATCAGATTAAATGTATTAGAAAAATGCATTTTTTTCATAGTAATTATTAGTTTTTCCTTATTATTAAAATATTAGATAGTCAAATGTATGTAATAATTGGCATAGAATTCATTTTTTCGATAATTCTCTTAATTTCGTCTGTAAAAATTCGTAACTGAAAAATGAGTCTACTATCCCCGGTCTCCCCTATTAAATTGCGAGTCTCGCAAAAGAGATATGTAATCTCAAAGATAATATTTTGATAGGATAGTACATATTACACTGTATTAAAACTCAATATATGTATATAGGGTGTCTGATTACAGGGTGTGTGACAATTAATGATTAAATTCTTGTATAGAGACAAAATGGACTAAACTGAGTAGAAAAGTTCTTTATTATTTTGCAATTTTTGCAATAGTCAATGGTAAACCCCTCAGACGGAGGGGTACGTGCTTATTCGGCGATTTTTAGAAATTAATATCCCGTCAACCATTGCGAAAATTGCAAAGACTTTTTTACTCAATTTAGGTCATTCTGCCTCTATACGAGAGTTTAATCATTCATTATCAGTCATCCTGCATACACTTATTATTCAATATCCTAGTAATACAATTATTGGCACAATATTGTTCAAATATTAGTCCTATATCCCCAACATTTAACCAATATATCGTTAATAATTTGCTACTAAGATATTTGGAACATAGTTTGTATCTTCAAAATTGTCCAAACATATCGTCAGATGTTTCAGAGATTCTCCTATTACAGGAAAGTACATTAAATATCATCGTAGATCTAAAAAAGATATTGCGTACAATCGATTGCGTTTTATCGCATAATACGCATAATTAATTAAATGTAAAATTTATCATTTTAATATAAATTGTGTTACTATTCAACAATTGCAAAAATTGTGAATATAAAATTGAACAAAGGCACACGAAATTTATTTTAATGCTAAATTGCGCAAATAACTTATTCCTAATTTATTTTTCATAAATCGTCTTCTCTTAAATAATTAACATATTAAATTTGATAAGGTTGACGGATTGACACGGTGATAACGATCAACAGTCGATCCGATAAGCATAGGAAGGAGTTTCGTATTCGCGTGTCATATCTGTTATCGTTTATTTAAAGCTGACAAATTACGATAATAATCAGAGTTTTCTTAGCGATTAAGATGTCATTTTATAACAACCGTTTTTTACATGAGTGTTATTTTTCTTTGTACAGCGCACGCGACGCGTACA